AGGCGAACGAAGCTTTCATCTGTTGTGCCAGTTGAAAGCGATACTCAACGAGTACACATGGAAATAGTGCCTGGTTTACCGAATCGGTTTGGCTCCAAAAGAAGAAGGGCCTACTGCGTCAGAAAACCGCAAGAAGAAATGTCGCACAACTGAGTAACCGGTAGCGGAGGGCATCTGACTCTGGTAGGGTTCATCTGCGGAAGAAGAGTCGCTACATAGTATGGTGACCTTTGCCAGTACTATCGAGGTGATTCATCCTGTACGAATTGAAGATGGAGGCTTCAGAGGTGATCAGCCAATACAGTTGGGCCACTCACGATCCGGACTCTATGAGGTGTCCTAGCATTTGCCTGGAACGAGATGTCCATGATTCCATAACCGTAAGCCCCTTCAAGGCTTATCGAACAGAATCTGCCTGTAGCTCTCTTTGCCTGCGGAGATGGCGGAGCAGCCATGAAATTCTTCGACACGCAAGATTCACAACTGTACGAGTGTCCGATTTATGCTTGATGTGAGATTGACTGATGCTGCGAAGGAAACTGAGGGTTCCAACCCAATTCTTCTGACGGTCTGGACTTATTGCCACAGATGTCATTCTGATGATACGAAGAAGACATGGAACGAAGCGAAACTGCACCTTGTCGCGAAGGCGAGGAGGAGGATCCGTAAGGAAGAATGGCTCAAGACATCCAGGAGTTCGGCTAGTAATACTAAACTGTACCCTCGATTAGGGAAGGAAATCCGGAATGCCAACGTTGTTTGTTGTCGCATTCGCTGAAAAGTCGATGATCAGCTGAGGTGGGCACATTGATCGATAGGGTGGCTTGTGTCAGAGCAGCCATCGACCAGATCCGTCGAGAAGGCGGTCGAAAGAAGGACATGGTCATGGTTGGGCGTTGAGGTAGGATTTTTGGTGGAGCTTAGCCGAATTCTATAGTCCACCTACGCGAACACACTAGTCATTGACAAGGACTTAAAGGAGTGAAGCCGTCGATGAGAAGGGCTCGATTGATTGAACTTTCGGTCAACTGGACGACTTGCAAAGCAGATGATGAAGATTTTCAGGGATGAAAACGGGAAGAAAAGAAGTTGGACAAAGCAATCCTCATACTCGGATGAACATATCACTTCGAAATATGAAGAGAACTTTCGAGTCCCCGGAGTGAACTGAATGTGCTTCTCGAAGACTACAGCTAACTAGTCAAATTTCTAGATGATCTCATTCGACCTCAAAGAAAGTAATCAACAGAAATTCGCTCAGTCAAGAAGCCGAGCGCATGAGAAGATTCAGTTTTGATGGCCCTATTCGCTCCGAATAAAAGTGGAACTTCCCACAAAGAAGGCGACTTTTCAGAGCATTGAGAATTTGAACTTGCTTCTATCACAATAATCAAATCGGTATCAGAGCTGGGCTTGCACGATTTACTTCTATCTTCGTACAGCGGGGTAAGGTAAGGACACAAAGGAGCGTATAACCCTATTCCTTCCGTAAAAGTTCAACCAACATACTGTAGTTATTCCCTAGTGAAAAGGACAAGTAAATGGTTTACAGTAAAAGGGCACTCGCTATACTCAATCCTCTGACGAACCATTCGAGTACAACGGTCCAACAATGATACCAATAAAAACCATCTAGTTACCACTTTCACTGTGACCACCATTAAGTGAGATACCTCTAGATGATAATATTTTCGCCTTACCCCGCCTGATCCACAAGCCCCTCGCTTGCTGTGTTACACCCCGTATGGCCTAATCTAGAAATCAGTAGCGTCCCTAGAAACGGAACACAGTGAGCATCTACATTTTATACCATAAAAATGTTTTATCCCGAATGTTTTCTCTCTTCCTTCTGATGAAATCGGACTTACACCCAATTACAAATGAAAAACATGCCGTTTGCTACCACCGTGCTACATAGAATTCAATTTTAGTACACCTTTGGATAAATCTTTTCGATTCATTCCTGTCTCGACTATACCAGCCAATTCATTTTGAATAGAACTATTTTACTTAGACCTCCCTCTCAGTTTTATCTAAAAGTTGACAGCATTCGTTGCCTACTTCATTTTGATAGATACTCCTTCCCTCGGCCTTCCTGCTCCTTCACAAAAATCTAACAAGTCAATGAGTCCCATCCTAATATCTTTGAGTGCAGCTTGAGCTAACCTTGACGCCTACCCGTTCATTCAGTCATACCATAAGGCCATTTGGATTTTGGAGCCCATAGAGCTATTACATCGCCCCCTGTGACTAACAAAAAGATGCTTATACGCAACTTAAACCCCATGGATTCCCCTGAGACGGCGACAAGCTGAAACACTTTTTAGGAACTTATCAATTCGATAGCAAGTTACCCTTACGCATGAGCTTCACCTTCCCAGTAGTAGAGTGAGGCAATGCTGGTTAAGTCTTTTCACAGAAGATTGCTTGGCCAAAAATTCTATTTCCAAACTAGCTATTCCTAAAATTTATGTTTCCACCCTACTGACACACTTCTTGCGAGCAATTCGTTGGTTGGTTATTTTCACCCTCAAAGTTCCACTCTTTGAGTTTGGGAAGACTCTAACTTATCTTTAGCTATCGTTTATGTGTTGGCCGAACGTCTAAGATTCTTCCAAAAAGTGTAAGCGATTTTGAGGCACTTCAAGAGCACAAAAATTGAACTGTAGTTATACCTGATTTCGAAAAAACTCTTACTGCCCTAGAAACTTCATTATTAACTAAGAAACTCACCTTAAGCGATGACACAATCCCTTCAACAAAGCGCCAAAGAGGCAAAATACTCGAAGCACTGGGTGGAGTCAGAGAAGCCACCGATAAATTCCTGATCATTCAAAGAAAACGTTATGCAGTGAGATTAGCAAAATTCCAGAACGCTTCACTCAAAGAGCCAAACTATGAATCTTCTGCGTTCTCTCTGTGAGTGATATGACTTCAATGCTCTAAACTCCAAATAAGAAACCACCCCACAAGAAAAGTGCAGAACTAAACAAACCAATTATTTCCCGCAAAATCACCCTAAATCATGCGGGAAACACCGCAAGGGAAAGGCCTGCCGTTGAAGATAACGAGCGCTATCAATCTTATGGCAGCCACTACGAGCTCTGAAGTTTACCATTCCCTTCACATTTTATCACNAACGCTTCACTCAAAGAGCCAAACTATGAATCTTCTGCGTTCTCTCTGTGAGTGATATGACTTCAATGCTCTAAATTCCAAATAAGAAACCACCCCACAAGGAAAGTGCAGAACCAAACAAACTAATTATTTCCCGCAAAATCACCCTAAATCATGCGGGCAACACCGCAAGGAAAAAGCCTGCCGTTGAAGATAACGAGCGCTATCAATCTTATGGCAGCCACTACGAGCTCTGAAGTTTACCATTCCCTTCACATTTTATCACTCGCACTCACTCTAGCAGAAGTGCATTTTGGCAGAAATCGTGTTGGTGTTGTGCAATTGCTGCGCCAAAGTTGTGGGCAAACGTTTCGAGTGAGCCCTTCTCCATGCAAATGGAAAGATCGATGACATGTGCCCGTAGGGCCCGTTAATCTCTCGAAAATTTGATGGGAAGTGACAGTGTGGACAAACGAACTCGAAAACCCCTCCCATTGCTGTTTACGGAGAAAGGTCACAAGCCAGACCTTGTGTGAGGTTCCATTTCGAAGCGAATGGTTCCGCGAACACGGCTGTTGCGAGCGCCGGTTGCTCATAAGCCGTCACGGTCGCATTGGATTGGAGAGTGACACAAAGGAAGTTTCCAGCTCTCCAAGGCATGCCTTCCCCAGGACCTCGTAAGTCGAGTCCATCAGCGGGAAACAATGCGTGGGGATTCTTTGTGAAGGGGTAAATTCTTTGAAGGTTCAAGACCTTCTCTATCCCCAGGGGAAACTTAGGGTGGGTATTACAGGGTGATTGATTAGTGTGGGCACCTAAATTACTCTATCCCTTAACCTAGCCCTCTTATTAGTTCCCTAGCCATTCTTCCCACACTCAGGCCTCAGTCCGTCAAATTCTGCCGTCATCACGTTGCGCTTCGAAAGGAAAAGAGCAGCCACCCTCTAACAAACAAAGCTGAAGTTTCGTAAAGTGTCGGGGAAATCGAGAAGCCACGGGAGCCCATTACCCACTAATTAAATCCAGGTGTACGAAAAAGAGGAAAAGTAATAGAGGAAAAAATTGGAGCTGACAGCAGATTACCACCCCCTTACCCTCATACTAATAGAAGAAAGCGGAAAAAGCAAGTAAATAAAACGAAAAGGAAGAAAGTAGGAACTTTGTCTACAGGAACCCTTTCTACGTGCCCCAACACCACCCCTATTCTCCTTGCCCCCTCCCCTTATATTCAATCCCCTCCCCTCCCTACACCGGTTCATCTTGTCATTGATTTTTGATTTGGTGACCAAATATGAAAAAAGAAGATCTTCGTAAGAATGTGGCCGCAATCGTCCTTCCTAATACATGGTGATTACAGTTGTTATTTGACCTCAAGAGACCTAAGTTGGGGAAGGACCACCAGGGTACTGCTAATCAGTGAATAATTAGCGACCCCCTAAACAATGACAATAGATCCCCCTAAACAATGACAATAGATAACTAACTACAGAAAAGGTACCTAATAACTATTGAAGTAACAAACAACTGAAAAATATGCTAGTTATGGTCATAGTTAGTTAGTTAAAAAACAGGATACATCAAAATAAAGCCCTAAACAACCTAAAAATGGCCTAACGCCCACACTGAAACAATCACACCTGCTAATCTCAAAAATAATCCTTTGACGGTTTATGCGTCCGCTTGTGGTCCACGAAACGCCCTACAAAAATGGACGATTAGGACTGAAAAAGAAGCACAAAAATCAAACTAACGCACTTTTTCCATAGGCCGCTGGGTTTAGACGAGTAATCCACGTCGCTGCCTTCGCCGGGAGCAGCAATTTCTTCCAAATAGTTCTTCCTCGGTGCAGAGTGTCCCGTGCGCATCAAAGTGATGTTCTCGGGTTACGATTGAGGTGACTCTTCCACGACCCCACACTCGGCTTCCGTCCATCTATTCGCTCCACTGTTCTTCGAACGTGAGCAGCGTGCCGTTCCAGGAAATCTCTTCAGATCAGGTGGACGACAGCTGACTTGTAGAGAGCCGAGCCTATCTAAAACATGTGTTTTGAGTAAAAGCCCCACCAAAGATGGCAACAAATGCATACCCCTGATCCCCGATCGGATCACCCATTAGCAGGATAGGTGACTGCTGACTGCTTCCGGCTGAACTGCCGGGACCTGAACATGTAGATTTACAGGGAAAGAAGCGTTATCACACAAATTGAAGTAGACGTTCGCACCGAGATGATTTCGCGGCGAACCAGTCCCAGATCCCGCGTACGTTCGAGTAGTCCCATACGAATCAATGTTGCTTGAAACTTCTCGCCTGGGTTTGACATCTAGGCAGTAAGATGGCAAAGTGGCCCAGATGAGAAATTCGCCGGTCTCGATAAGAACGGCGTCAACCTGAATTGAAAGCGAATATCGTAACATCAAAAACATCATTTGATGATGGCGTACCTCCGATCCCCGTTTGGATCGCCTTGCAACAGAACTGCACCGTTAGGTCGACCCGTTCCTGTAATCCTCAACATACCCAAATTGCCAGGTAGACGGAAGGCTTCATAATCTTGTTGTACGACCATTTCCAGACTCCACAGAAAAAGGCACTTCTGAACGAGGACAGTATCAACCTGAACTGGAGCCATGAGAATCGAGGCAAAGAAATCGTTCGATGGTCTCGCACCTTCGAACCCCGTTTGGGTCGCCTTACTACAGAACTGCCCTGATAGGTCGATCCATCCTCGAAGTCCTATCCATGGTATATAGAAAGAATGCGGTAAGTTTTTACTTTTGTCGAGATCGCAGAATCCTTGAAAGCAAGAAAGGGGCTCGTGTGAGAACGCCATCAGCCTAAATTTATAGCCATGAGAATCCAGACGGAACTAATCGTCTATGGGTCTCGTACCTTCGATCCCCATTCGGATTGCCTCACAACATAACAGTTCTTATTAATTGAACTGCCTCGTACTCCTCTCCATATCCATGGTTTTGGTAGACGAATGGCTTCATAATCAGTTTAACAGCTCAAGTCGCAGAATGCTGAGGACAAAGAATGAGCCCGTGTCATTGAGGGCGTTGTTAACCTGAACTGAAAGCCATAGCAAAGACACTTGAGAAGGCGTCTAATATTGACGTACACCTGATCCCTGTTCGGATCGTCCTACAACAGAACTGTACTAGCAGACTGATCTGTCCTCGAAACCCTCTCTGCATCCGTGGTCCTT